GAAGCAATATTAATTTGAGTTAAACTTGGGCACTTAAGCTAATGAAACAATTAGTGGCCTAAGCTAATTAGTTCCAAAAGAAAATAGAGAATGATGGAGAAAGTTAGCAAGAAACTTTCTTCTTGAGAGGTAGAAGAGAAAGTTAGAGAAAAGAAAGATAAATAGGAAGAAAATCAAAGGGAATTCAAATTCATCATTTTGGACTTGAGAATTGAACACTTAGGTGATTTAGAAAACCTTAAATCAGTCGCTTAAGTTTGTGAATTTTGTGCATATGTGATTGTATATATTTTAGGCTAATTAGTTGTATTTCCATAGTTAGATAGTTATATTTCCATAGTTAGATTTTAGGGTTTAGTCACTTCTTATTTAAACTGATGTAACTCTTGAATTTGAACAAGTTGAATATACAAATCATTCAGAAATACTTACATGGTATCAGAGCTTGGTTTCAAACCCTAGCCTTCAGATTCGAAACCCTAGCCGTAGTGGGTTTGCTTCATCTGGTTCATCCCCAACCCTGAACCCTCTGCCTCTCAGTTTCGGTTCGATCGTGACTCCCTATCGCACCCTATTTGCTGCGTCTCTCTCGGTTCTCGTCGGCGTCATCGCGACTTGTTGGCTACCTCTAGTCATCGCGAATCGCGACTCTCTCTATTCATTTCAGTTCATCGCAACTCTCGTCGGCTTCGTGTGGTTCATCGTTGACTCTGGTTCTTTCTCTCTATGTTTGGTTCAGTTCTCTTATTTGTTTGTTCTTAAAAAAAAAAAAAAAAAATCTGATTTCCTGTTTGGCCCACTTGTTAGTTATTATAATAGTCTGACCCTCAGCTTTTGATTATTACACTTGAACCCTTAGTTTGGCTACTTTGTTTGATTGCACTGAAACCCCTCAATTTTTTGGTTATTACGATGTCTCTGGCTTTTGATGAGTGTGCCTACTGCCATCAGCGGAAGTACCACTGTCCCGAGAAGGGACATCTGCCTACCTCCTCTTTTCAACGATCTCAGAACCAATTCTGGGCTCCTCCTGCTGAGTATAATGGATCTACTCCGGCTCTTGATCCTGACTTAGCTTCCTTAACTGCTCAGATTAGTCAGCTTCAGCATATATTGTCTACCTCCCAGTCATCTCCATCTGTCTCCGTTGTTTCATTCCTTCATTCAGGTTTGCTTGGGTCTTCTTCAGGTATCTCTTCGTCTGTCTGGCTTTTTGACTCTAGTGCCTCTCATCATATGACTCCTCATCTCTCTTTACTTCAGAATTGTACTCCTCCTCCCTTTCTTATTACTGTTAATGCTGCAAATGGGTCTAGTATATCGGTCATATCTGTTGGTCCATCTGCTATGTCTGCAGTCTCTATTCCATCTGTCTTCTATGTTCCTTAGTTATCCGTCAGTTTATTATCTATTAGTCAACTTGATGCTTCTGGTTTTGATGTTATCTTTTCTTCTTCTATTTGTTCTGTGCAGGATCGGATGTCCAAACAGCAGATTGGGACTGACCATAGAGTTGGAGACCTCTATGTAGTAGAGAGCCTGCATTTGCCTATGACTACCTCTCCGACTGCCTTTTCTTCTTTTCAGTTAGATTCTATGTCCAGTCCTTTCTATTTGTGGCATTCCAGATTAGGGCATTTGTTTGCTGACCGCTTACGGTCTTTAGCTCAGTCAGGTATATTGGGTAAAGTTTCTCCCAGTCAACTTACCGAGTGTCGGGGATGTAAACTTGCCAAAATGATAGTCTTACTTTTCTATAATAGTACTTCTATATCTGCTACACCGTTTTCTTTAGTTCATACTGATGTCTGGGGCCCTTCTCCTGTTCTTACCAAGGGGGGTTCTGCATACTATATGTCATTTGTTGATGATTGCACCCGTTACACTTGGGTTAATCTTATGACTCATAAGTCCGATTTCTATCAGATCTATCGTACCTTTCAGTCTATGATTACTACTCAGTTTGGGTCTACTATTAAAGTGTTACGGTCTAACTTGGGTGGGGAATATTTTAAAAATGAGTTTTGTGAGTATTTGGCCAATTTGGGTACCATTCATCAAACTTCCTGTACAGATACACCTGCCCAAAATAGTCGAGCCGAGCATAAACACCGTCATCTCCTTGAGACAACTAGGTCTCTTCTGCTCTCTGCCTCAGTTACTGCTCCATTCTGGGGGGAGGCAGTTCTTACTGCTGATTGTCTTCTCAACCGCATGCCTACTCCCCTTCTTTCTGGTCGGTTTCCTTATGAGGCTTTGTTCTTCCAAATTCCTAACTATTCCCTTCTTCGTGTGTTTGGGTCTACTTGTTTTGTCCTTCTTCTTCGTAAAGATAGGACCAAACTTAGTGCTCGGTCTGTCTTCTGTGTCTTTTTGGGTTACAGTCTTACTCAGAAAGGCTATCGCTATTATGATCCTGTCTCTCGTCACCTTTATGTCTCCTATCATGTTGTCTTTCTCGAACGTCTGTCTTACTTCCAGCTTCCCCCTCTTACTACTCCAGTTTCCATAGAGGATTTGGTTCACATTGACCCATTTCCTTCTGAGGTCCCGTCTAATGAGTGCATCTCCACTGTTCCTCTTGAGTCTATTCCTCATTCTCCGTCTGCGTCACCTATGGCTCCTTCTCCTCTTTCAACTTCTTCTTCCCCTCCATTGTTGGTCTATTCTCGTCGTCAGGCTCCCCCACCACCAATTGTCTCTACTCCTATTGTTGTTCCTTCTACTTCTGACGACTCTGATCTTGCTGCACACCGATATCCTACTCGTGAGCGTCGTCCTCCAAACAGGTTGGGTTGGTCTAATACATGTTTTTCTGCTTCCTATCGTTCTTTTTTGTCTGTTATTCATTCTTTTTCAGAACCACAGTCTTATACGGAGGCCTGTCAGGATCCTAATTGGGTTCAAGCTATGGAGGATGAGTTGTTTGCCTTGCAGAAGACTAACACTTGGGAGTTGGTTCCTTTGCCTGCTGGCAAGAATCTGGTTGGTTACAAATGGGTCTATAAAGTCAAGACTCATTCTGATGGTTCTCTCGAGCGCTATAAAGCTCGCTTGGTTGCCAAGGGTTTCTCATAGGAGTATGGTATTAATTATGAGGACACCTTTGCCTCTGTTACCAAGATGACTACTGTTCGTACCTTGATTTCTGTTGCTGCTGTTCGACATTGGCCTCTCTATCAGATGGACGTTAAGAATGCTTTTCTTAACGGGTATCTCACTGAGGAGGTCTACATGTGTCCTCCCCCTGGTCTTCTCCACTCTTCTGGGAAAGTTTGTCGTCTTCGTCGTGCTCTGTATGATTTGAAGTAGTCTCCTCGTGCTTGGTATGATCGCTTTCAGACTACCGTTACCGAGCTTGGGTTTCATCCTTCTGCTTCCGACTCTACTTTGTTTCTCAGATATACCTCGGCTGGTTTTGTTGCTCTCCTACTTTAGGTGGATGATATGATCATCACTGGTTCTGACTGTTCTGCTATCTCTGAGGTCAAGCAGCATCTCTTCCGCACCTTCGAAATGAAGGATCTGGGTCCATTGCGGTATTTTCTTGGTATTGAGGTTGCCTCTTCTCCAAAAGGCTATTTTCTGTCTCAGGCTAAGTATACTAATGAGGTTATTCACCGTACCGCTCTTACTGATACTAAGGTTTCTGATACACCTATTGAGCTTAATGTGAAGCTCAACTCTACTGATGGTGTCCCTCTAACTAATTCCACTTTATATCGCGAGCTTGTAAGTTGTTTAGTTTATCTGACTATCACTCCGCCTGATCTTGCTTATGCTGTTCATGTGGTCAGTCAGTCTGTTTCTACTCCTCGCCCCACGCATTGGGCCGCTTTGGTTCGAATTCTCCGTTATGTTCGCGGTACTATCTTTCAGGACTTACTGCTTTCGTCCACTTCTTCCTTGGACCTAGTGGTCTATGCTGATTCTAATTGGGCTAGTGATGTCAATGATCGCAAGTCCACTTCTGGTTTCTGTATGTTTCTTGGTGATTCCTTGATTTCTTGGAAGAGCAAGAAACAGACTGTTGTTGCTCGTTCTACTGCCGAAGCTGAGTATCATGCTATGGCCCATGCCACTGCTGAGATTATCTAGCTTTGTTGTCTCTTGTCTGATTTGGGTGTCCCTCAATCCTCTCCCACCTCTCTCTACTGTGACAACCGTAATACTATTCAGATTGCCCATAACACTGTCTTCCATGAGCGGACGAAGTACATTGAGATTGATTGTCACTTTGTCAGACATCATCTGCAATCTGGTTCTATCTCACTTTCGTTTGTTCCTTCTGCCCCGAAACTTGCTGATTTCTTTACCAAGACTCACACTTCTGCTCGCTTTCAGTTTCTACTTGAAAAACTCTCTGTGTTTTCTGCTAAAACACCTTGAATTTGAGTGGGGGTGTGAATATTGTGCATATATGATTGTATATATTTTAGGCTAATTAGTTGTATTTCCATAGTTAGCTAATGAGTTGTATTTCCATAGTTAGATTTGGGGGTTTAGTCTCTTCTTATTTAAACTGATGTAACTCTTGAATTCGAACAAGTTGAATATACTAATCATTTAGAAATACTTACATAGTTATACTAATATCGCTAAATTACAATTACTCAGCAAATTCTCTTTCTTTAAAGGCTAAGCAAAATTAATTTGAAGCAGGTCTGACCAGCCAAAGATTCGAACAGACTCCACAAAGAAAAGTGTTTAAGTGAAGTTGCAGAGGTAATACTGTGCCACCTAAATATGAGAAAAACACTACTGTTAATAATATATATATGATTTTGGAGAAGAGTTCTCTCTGTATTAAATGTTTGTGTTCATCTTTGTTGTACAACTTCGCTTTTTTACAATCTTTCTTGCATCAATAACTATTAGAATTAATTTCACCATATGCTAGATCTTAATAGGATATATTTTGTAAAATATATTCAAGCTCTCTTCCTGTCATTACAAATTCAATGCCTCATCCAATGAAAGAAAATACCAGTGTTAATACATGGATAAAGTCTTGAAGACATCAAATATGATGATTCTAGTGGGCATTTCAACTGAATAAATGACAGAATAAAACAAATAATGATAAGTCAAGTTCTTGTTCTTCCTGATTTTAAGATTTTTACAGAGAAATAATAGAACAAAGACACCAAAGCAAATAGATAACAGAAACCTGTTACGGAACCTTGAAGAAGCCAGCGTCTGAAGATGTTTGTCCTTCAATTTTTGTGAGGGGCTGTTTGAGATATCCTTTCATCTTCAAGAAGTGTGTATGGGTCGATGTATTGGGGAGGTGTTATGGGTAATCTTATGCTTGCATCATGGACAAAAGTTTGTCCGAAATACTGCCAAAAGAAACAATCAATAGTTGTCTTCACGACATTTTAGGCAAAGTTTCACAGCAGTTGGCATGACATAAATAATGCTCTCTCACTGTACCCGTACACACACACATCCCAGAAACAGGCAGCAAACAATCTCGCATATATTTGTAAGAACAAAATAGAAAGAGAGAAAAAGTAAAGCCAACGGGTCATTTTTATAAGGACAAAAGTTACTGTAGGAAACACAATTTACAAGTTATTGTTCCTATCAATCTTCATACAGCATCAAGGAATTGCACAAATATTCAGAGAGGAAAATGAAGTATAGTTTAAAACAAAAACTATTCCCTAGTTGATGTTTATGTCGTTGCTCAGAAGATTACATAAAAAGTGGATAACATACTCCCTGCATCTTCCTCACTCCAACTAAAACTAGAAGGGCTTAGACAAACATAATAGCAAGACCACTTCTAGAATTGTGAAAACACTAGGAGGCCACAAGAAGATTTTGCATCAACATTTTCACAATGTTGGAAACTTTTCAAAGAAAACCTAAATCTAATACTAATATCAAAGAAAGCAAATTTAAAGTCGGAAAACCGACTGAACTTTAACTGATTAATATAATATATGAGCCAGGAAAAACCAACAAAATCAGTCAAAGTTCGAGTTTTTTCCTGTTTTCAATGCTTGGATTGAGAAATTAGCTCCAAATATACCCTCAGTGAACTACATCATCCTTTGGTTTTCTGAATGACAAAGTTTGGTTTGAATAGGTCCACCTAAAGTCAATTTTAGCTAAGCTAGTAACTATGAAGGATGGGTGTGGGTACAGATACGAGTATGATTACACCGATACGGCAATTTCTTAAAAAAGTAGGATACAGGTACAGCTGGGATACGTCAATTTTTTTAAAAAAATTTATAGCTAAACACCCAACATATAAATCAAAGTTTCAATATCAAAACTAAAAAGAGAAAAGTTAGTCTAAAAAGTTATATAATTCTTTATTTTTATTTTTTAATTGTCTAAAATAGGATGCAAAAGAGAGCAAAACCATGACTCATGAGTAAAGGGTGCTGAAAATAAATTATTTGATATTTTCAAAATTGAAAGAAGAATAATAAAAGATGCAACAAATTCTAGCAGCTGCACACAAAAAAAAAATAATAATAATAAAATTATCCCGCCATACCGGTGCCGTGCCCACAATGTACTGGTGGACGTACCCAAATGTATTTGCCATACCCAGCATATATTCGGGGTACCCAGTATGCATACCACTGTACCGGTACGCGTACCCACACCCTGTAAGTATTTGGTACTCATACGACACCATTTTTGGAGTACCCGTACTTCATAGGCTTAGTAACTATACATTTCTTTTTCAGACTACTCTTTCTATTAATCTGATTTCTAAAAATGGGTCAATTGGTTTGCTCATACTCCAGCAACTAACAAATCTGGACTCATAAAATTAGCTGAAAAATTATTCATATGTTCCTCTTTACTTCATGTTTGGTAACTTTTTGTTTCTAGTCACAACAATGACAATCACTCAAGATACATACTCAAACACAAAAATACGATGTCAGTAAAAAGGTTAAACTCCAATAGAAATACACTTCCCAACAGCTGCTTCTTGAAAGAACTTCCAAAATTTCAAACTTCGTATGAACCCCATTTCATGATAAAAAAGAAGGCAATGGCATGTTTACAATAGATTCACAATGCATCAGAAGATAACTAATGCAAAAATATTAAGCATATCTGGGCAGTGGAATTATCGAACCAAGGCAAGTCATGAAACACACCAAAGGTCAACCAGAAGAAGCTTACAAGGTATAGAGCAGAGAAGGATGCAATTGTTACAAGGATCAATGGCCAAAATCCAAAGAAGAAAGTTCCACCAATGGATAGTAAAAGTTTAGCCCGTGGAATCAAACCCTGAAATAAAAATTAAAAAAAAACAGAAGAAAATTGAAGTCTTCTTCCTTACATACATACATAAACGTTAATTAACAACCCCCCCCCTCTTAAAAAAAAATGCATAAATGCTTTCACACGCGCGGAAAAAGAAAAGTCGCAAAACAAAAAAGAAGTCCTTTCCAATAAGCAAAACATATTCAATAAAACTCGTGCTATGCACGGCTTTTAGTCAATTATCCAATATTTTACTTTAATTTATTGCATAGAAGAATTTCAAATAAAATTTTAGTATTAATTTACTGTTGCAAAACATATGCATTGCAAGAAAGTAATAGTTTGCATGATAAATTATAACCCAACCTCATTCCATCATATTCATTTACTCAGACAATACATTGAGTACCACCTGGAGTGCCTATGGTACAAGGAAGCTCCACATATTCTAATAATTAACAAATCAAATCAATAGTATGCTCAAATACAAAAGATAATAAATCTAATAAATTAAACCTTCCATGCGAGTAATTATTATCTCTGATACAATTGCAGAAATATGAAACAGGTGAACTTTATCAAATTTATATAATCATTGTCAGTGACAGGATCTACGAATCATCTTTGTTGGCTTGAATTGGATGATAATAAAGCACTATTTTTTTAAATAAAAAATTCCAAGCTATATTGAACACATAACAAGTGGACCTTAACAACTAATTTTATTCACATTAAAAGAAAATGATAATGATCACAATCCACAATCCACAATATAAGCTTATTCAAGCATACATATGCCTTTGAATACTCCATAGGCCGGGTGACTTTGATGCATAATTACATGAGGTAATTTTGATTATTATATCAAAGCAACCCTTATAGAGTCATCATTCTCTTTCACATAATTACTTCAATTAGGTTCGCTTGGGCAGTGAGAGGGTAATTTTTGGGAAAATTGGGCCGAACTTCGAGTTTGGTTTTGAGGCCCAAAACGCAGTGGACTAGGTAAAAAGGCCGTACAGAATACTCAAAGAAAATGATAATGATCACAATCCACAATCCACAATATAAGCTTATTCAAGCATACATATGCCTTTGAATACTCCATAGGCCGGGTGACTTTGATGCATAATTACATGAGGTAATTTTGATTATTATATCAAAGCAACCCTTATAGAGTCATCATTCTCTTTCACATAATTACTTCAATTAGGTTCGCTTGGGCAGCATTCCAATAATTTTGTCTTCATATTTCAGAAGTTTCCTTAGATTCCTCTGTCTTCACCTTTAGTTTATATGAATTCATTCTGGTTTGTTCTGGGTATATTGTTTTTGTGTCAACTTCTTGGCATTAGATGCATTTGGTTCAACCCTTTAGATGAGCATATTAACAATCAGATTACTAGTATCTTATCATGAATAGCAGATGATTATATCTGTATTTATATGCATAGATAACTTATATGATAGCATGTAAAGGCATTGAAGTTTTAAAGGATATTTATTTAAAAAGAAAAAGTGTGACTACTTGAAGAAATATAAATATTGTAATGCATTTTTATCAGTGGCCAACCAAAAAAATGGAAGCAAATTTATCACCAGAAATGGTTTTACAAAGCAATTGAGCTAAACAACTGAGTGAACAATAAAGAAAAAAAGTGCCAACCTCAAATCCTTCACTGTTCAGTGCCATAGAACGTTCCCTTTGATTAGATAAGCTTTTCTCATAATCTGTTGACACTGCATTTCTTTTTGAGGACCCACCCTCTTCTTCCATAAATTTTATCCCCTCATCACCATAGATACTCCTATTGCTTTCCTCAAGCAATGAAGTGGGATTCATACCCCTTTTCTTTAATTCTTTCATAAACAATGACTCAGTAGGTTCTTCACCTGAAAAGCAAAGGAAATATAGGACTACCTTATTGTTTTTTTTAAATCTTTTTTTAGAACCAAGAAAGATGGCCACATGTGTTTGAAAACCCATTAAAGAACTCTAGGTAAACATACAAAGGGTATGAGGGGCAATACAAATTGATACTTCAGTAAAAGCTAAATAGTCAATCCCACGACAGTACCACCAGTGAAGTCACAATACAAGATACACAAATTTGTCCACCACCAATTCGATATCAGACTAAGAAAAATGATATATAAGCCGTCTTTCTAGACCTCTAGTGACATGAAAAAAAAAATGATTGATTGATAATTAGAAAATACATAAGAGAAAGAATTGCTTTAAATATTCTAATAGATTGCCAAACTACTGGACTTAAAAAATGAGTCTAACTTTTGGTTAGTACTCTTGACTAATTACACAACTAGCACCGCAATCTGCAAATTTGGTAGAATTTGGTAAGGTAATTATATAGTAGAGTTAATTACACTAAGACCCCTCAACTATTTGTGAATCTCACTTTACCCCCTCATCTATGAACCCGTACATATTGACTCTCTTTTGGCGGTGGTTTGAAGGGAGCTTGCAGGGGTAAAAGTAATACGTTTTTATAGTTGAGAGGGTCAAAACATACAAGTTCATAAATGAGAGGTAAAGCGATATTCGCTAATAGTTGAGTTGGGTGGAGGGGGTCTTGGTTTAAATTACCCTATATTTATTATATGGAGAACTTACGTGTAAGGCCTAATAGATGAACTTATTGTCCAATAGGTCTTATGAAAATTAATGGCGTTTTTCATCAAACACTATTAAAAAACATCACTAATTGTTAATTTTTAGCAATAGTTCAAAAATTTTATTACAAAAAATGTCACTAATTATAAGTTTATTATCACAAAAAAAATGTCATTGATTTTCAATTTTCAACAATAGTTTGAAAATTTTGCCATAGAAAAAAGTTACTAATTATAAGTTTCAGGGACAATTTATTAAAACCGTGACAAAAAAATTCACTAATTGTCAATTTTTAGCGATATATGCAAAAAAATGTCACAAAAAATTATTTTTAACGATAATTTTACTATATTTATTTTTAATAGAACTTGATAGGAATTAAGGCCTCGTTTGGCATACGAGTGTTTTAGCCTAAAAGTTACAAAAAAAACTAAAAAACTTATAATATTTATCAAAAAGTTAAAATTTTCATTTTCTCTTTACTTTTTGCACATCTTTTCATAAAAAAATCAAAAAATTATTCCAAAGATACTAATTTTTTTACCTCATATTTTAGTAAAAAGTAATTAAAATAGCATATTCCCAAATGAGGCCTAAGTCCAACTATTAGGAAGAGTCTTCCCTTTATCATATTTGATCAAACACAATTGTGAAACCAATGGATGAAATCAATTACAAGTGTTAAATTGTGTCATGAAACAGGGCCTCCTAAACTACTGAACCAATAATCAAACCATGATAAGGCAGTTGCTCCAAACATCATGCCACACAAATATTGAACAGCACATAAAATCCATACATACAAAAACATTGAACAGCACATAAAAATAGCAACAAATACGAAAAACAATCGAAAAGAAGAGAAAAAAACAAATGAATATATACCATTGCTTTGGTTGTCATACTGTTGAAGGTTACAAGAAACTCTAGAGATTGGGGAGCTCCGGTGGCTTTGAAAGTTGAGATTGAGATTCACCTTTCTAATACTGCGAATGGAGTGGGAATTGAATTCGGAGCAAAACCAGTACGATTTCGAGCGGGAATTCGAGTGAGAAACTGACAACGGAGGAGACAAGCTCGATTTCGGAATCTGCAGAGAAGCCATTTACTTGTTTTCAAACTAAATTTTTTGGAAATTGGAATTCAATTGAACAAGAATTCATTCCATTTACAGAAGCCAAATCCAAATGGAGGAATGAGTGAGAGAACAGAACAGAACAGAACAGAGTTGTTTCTAGAGAGAGAGAGAGGACAAAGAATTACGGTCGATAGATAGGGCGTAGTGTAGAATTGTTGAGTCGCTGTTGTCTATTGTGCGCGGGAGATTTTGTGGCTGAAAAGAAAGGAAAACTAGAAGTTGAATGAACACACCGCCGAGGTGAGAGAACCGTGGACTCCTCAACACAGTGAATTCTTTCGTTTGCGCCACGCAAAATAACTCACGTGACTTGCCACGCCACTTTCAATTGTTCTCTTCTGGCTGAGATTTTTATCAGGCCAAATGCTTAACAGTGTTTTTTTTTTTTTTTTTCCAATATTATTGTAAAAAAGTATTTGAATATAAATTAAATTATCAAATTACATTGACTTCAATAAAAAATTTGAATTTTTTTTAATCTATTTCTTATAGGATTATTTACCAATAAATTTTATCTCACAAACTCTTAAAACAATCAGTCCCAACTTTATACTTTTGCTCTGTTTAGTCCTGCTGGTGGAAGAGTTGTGCCTATGTGGTCCTATTTTCCTTGTTTGGCATTAGGTAATGGACGATTGTATCCTTTTTTGTTTGATTGGAACGAGTATTGCGGGATTGCGGGATCACTTCTGTTTTTGCATACATGAAGATTACTTTTGGTTGTTCTGGATGCTTCGGCCACACACCTTTTTAGCCATTACAGTTAGGCCATGTTTGTTTGGGAGGACTGGATTAGCATTCCCATGACTAATAATCCTGAGATTACGAATCCGTTGGATTATGTATCCTATCTTAACTAAAAGTCAAGTTTAAAATAATTAGTCCATACTTCAATTGTTTAACCAAATATCGGATTAATAATTTTATTGGACTATTAGTCCAATCCCAAGCTCATGTCCACCCAAACAAACATGGCCTTAGGGTTTTGTGTATTGGGTTGTGGGTGTTTGTGCTGACGGCTGTGTAACGCACTGTCAGAGATAGCATTTCTGCCCTTGGCAACTTGTTGTTAAGTTGGTATGTCTTTTCTTCCTTGTGCGTTTGTTATTGTATTGTAGTCTACTTGGTTCGCACTGCATTTGGTCTGTTTTCCATTTGTTTCGCGTAGCTGGGTTTCTGTATGTATTGGTGGAAATTGTTTGTGTACAGTGTGTGTTGGGGCCACGATATGTGATGCATATGTTGCAAGGGTTTTTTGTGTTTTTGGTGGGGGTGGTGCTTGGTTGATCAGGCATGTGGTACGTTATCCCAATGGCATGTGCTATCGGGATAGCCGACGGGAGGGAATGTCACAGTGTCACAGTGCCCGAAATTAATGTTGGTCCACCCACAATCAACTCATTTCGCTGCCACAATTGAAATATGAGACTATACGGATTTTGGTTTGCTGATAATGTAGTATTGGCTATGTCAACTTTTAACATGAAACACGTTAACCAAAAAATAAAATTACAAAAAAAAATACCCAAACCTCACACCAATAACAAACGACTTCACGAAAACACACACATCCCACGCATGTAGGCCACGACCGCAACAACTCCAACACAAGCCCCGGCGTTTAAAAACCAAAACATACATACACACACCTTATCCTTACATTTCCAACCCCACACCAACACATTGTACTCTATTCTTAAGTGGTCCCACACCCTCATTGGACCTTTTAGGCCACTTCATTCGACACACATTTGGCAAACACACAGCCACACACACTAACATCACATTCCCACACACACACACACACACACACCCCACCACCCACCCACCCACCAACCAACCTATTTCATTACCACAAAAACCCAAATTAATTTTGACCCATCCCTAACCAACTCATTTGCCTGCCACAAAACAAAATATGGGACTATAAGGATTTAAGTTAGTTGATAATGTATCATTTGATATGACAACATTTAACATTAAAATGTTAATAAAAACGACTTCACGACGACACGCATGCATCCTACACATGTGGGCCACAACCACATCAACTCCAAAACAAGCCCTATAGTTTTTTAACAAAAAACAAAAAAAAACAAAAAACAAAATACAAACACCATATCCTTACAGACCCATCCCCACACCCCTACATATCCAAAACATATCAAAATAATGTATTCCCTAATGTATTCCCTTTGCTGTGGTCCCAACTTTTGGTCGTCACTTTATTATACTAATTTAACCTACAACTGTCAGTCACACAACCATACAAACCAACTCACACGGCACCACATTAACACACCCACAACCCCACGCCATTAGCACACGACATACAGGAACACACCATCACAACGAAAACACAATATGCACAAAAAAACCTACCCTCACACCATAACATTGTTGCCAGACACACCCACACTGCCTCGACACACACCAGACACCCATACAGCCGCACACGACATTGACATCCCAAAACAAGCACTACATCATAACCCACACCACCAAAAGTGCACGACTGCTAATAAATATGACCACACACACAGATAATCGGAAGGAAATCAACAAATAGCATAGCACCACATTGTCACACTTGCGTTACAAACCAACGTCACATGACATACTCTTTTCCTCCATAGCATAGATCTGCAAGACCAACTACCACGAATGAGTCACGGTAGGGTTTTAATTCATTCAACAATGCATAATGTCACACCAACGATCGCCCAATGTAACATAGCAACACACAATCAGCACTAATCAATCTTCAATATTCCTCCTCCCTCTCCTCGAATCACGGAACGGCATATATGGTCAATCAAAATCTACAAATTCGAAAAAATCGCAACATTAGGGTTTCTACAGATTATCCAATCGCAATGTGGTGTGATTGTGGATGTATGAAGTGGGTTACTTTTCCACGGATGTAGGGATGTGGATGTCAAAATCGGGTTTGTTTGTCATGTATACCCGGTGTGTGACCTGTGGCACCCACAAAATCCACACTTCTATAACAAAACCCCTTAGTACGCTTTACTGATCTGTGACACTCCATCATGTGTCACGTGACGCAATTCAAGCAACAATAACACACTACATATTACACCCCGTGTAACCCATGCGCATACACATCCTCCATTCACATAAAGCTGTAATGCATATCTCCAACGGTAGTAGGCATTTTACCTATCTAAATATTACTATAAAGTATATATTTTATTTTGCCTATCAACTGTTTTATGTTTTTACTCCAACCATGCTCTTTATTTTAGCTATTTATCCAAATAGTATTAATTTTATAGAATGCCACGTCAACAATAAAGATAGAGGGAAATGATCCTAATGATTGAATACATTTTGCCTAGCGTTGAAGGCTAGCTACATGTAGCTAGTGAATATGAGTTGAGCCAAAATGCCTAATCATATGCCTAGTGCATTGGAATTGAAAAAAGTGAATCACACTAGGCATTTTAACTAACAAGTATTATATGCCTAGTGCATTGGAGATGCTCTAATAAGAGCATCGATGGCAATTACGACCTTTCACAACTGGAAGGACCAAACGGAACATTAGAATAAAAATGGGACTAAATGGATCATAAGATTAACTTTTGGGATTTATTGATAAATTTCCCTTTCTTATATTCCTGTTGACATCGTAAATTAATTTTTTGTCGATTGTGATCTGTCAATAGGTCAAATTTAATCTAATTGGTTGTGGTCTATCGATTATGGTATGCTGTTTCAGACCATAAACCATCTTTTTAAGTAATATGGCCATGTTTATATTTATTATTATTATGTTGTTGTTGTTGTTGGTGGTGATTGTTATTGCTTGTGCAAAAGACAGATGGTGACAAAATGAAGTACGAACGCGTAGGGTTTCATGCTGGAAATGTGGAGTGATTCATGGCATCTATGGGTTGATTTCATCTGCTTTGAAGAACTGTTTTCAATCGTTACCGTCTCAATATATGTATATAAAAAGGTCAAGGGAGGGACAAGCAAAAGGATATTCAACCCATTTCACAACTCTTGTGAAATCTAAGAGTAGCAGTAACTTATTATAGTAGTAGTTCAGTACTTGTACTTAGGAGTAGTTCTTAACAGTTAGTGTTAGTTTTTGTAACCTGTTCCAGACCTATCCATTGTAATGCTTAATGCTTGTAATTTAGTTCTTATAATTAAGTGACAAGTTTAAGTGTTATTAATCAAAATTTCTGTGTGTTTAATCATTTATTTCTTAACATTATAACTTTCAAAGAAGTCCTTAAATCTATCAAGACATAAGACACCAACCACATTGCTTGATTTATTTGTTATTTGTAAAAATCGATTTTTCTGTCAAATCAACCCTATTGATTTCATCCAAATCAAATTTTTACTAACAATCCCAACAACACTTGTTAGTAATACATTTCTATTAGTTATTCAACGTCCAACGTTACTAGCCATTTCATATTAATATTCACATTTATTAAAATTCTTATAGTACCTATTTTGAGATTTTCAATAGTTTAGTGGGAAATTTAGTGGATATAAATGTATTGAAAATAAAGATATTCAAAAACAAGAAAATCCTTAGCTTTTTTAGTTCCATCATCAAACTATGATTGGGCTCTTCAAACAAAGGCCATGTTTGATGTATGAAACTCTTTATAATTTTATTTATTTTCAAAAGCTATACATTAATTAACAAAGATAAATTAAAAAAAAAACTAATTATTGAAAATTTGAAGAAAGAGTGGTTTTTACTCTTACTTTATGATTATTATTAATTTTTAAATTTGCAAAAAACTATATAAAACCAAGATCCTACTTTTTCACTTCTCGAGTGTGGATCTCAAACAAATCCCTTAATTTTTTGTTCGAACACGAGATTTTTAAATATAATTTTCACTTGAAGATTGTGTCGTGTTTGCTCACATGGCATTTTAATAGCACATCTATTACCTTGCTACGTACACATTATTTACAAACGGGAAAATGTTTGGGGGCCTTGAGTTGTGAGGGTAGAATGCCTTGACTTTCTCAACAAAAAAAAAAAAATTAAAATTATTTGTTTGGCTGTGTTGGGTTATTTTTTTTTTTTTTTTTTTTTTTTGAAAGGGTGGTTATGTGTAAGGATATGTCAAAAAAATAGACATTACGCATCAACTCGGCCTGTGTGGTTCGATAAGGTGAGTGAGTTGGGTTAGACTGGTTGAGTGATAAAATTAACTGATTAGTTAAGCTGCTGATCTAATTTTTTGACACACCCCTACACATAGCCACCTTCTCAAATCAAAAAAAAAAAAAAGAAAAAGAAAAAATCAACCAAACCAACACCAATAAATAGAGAAAAAAAAATAAGAAAAAAAAGAGAGAGAGAGAGAGAGGAATTGTCGAGGCATTCAAGGCCCCTAGCATCACCATTTACAAATTATGATGCATCTAACAAAGATTGTACAATGATTCTTTTACAATTGAAATAGACAAAAAACTTTTCTGGTTCCTAGACTTTTCCAAAAATTAGATATGCTTCCGATCAAAATCGTACGATGATTCTCTTCAAATACGGACAAACTAGATCATAACCCATGGACGCTGAATATTTTTTTATAGGACATGAAAAGTGAGCCCATTAAACCATCGCATTATAAGAATTTAAAATTTAATATCCAAATTCGATCACCCTAACTTTATTGTAAACCAATACATAGACAAGGATTACCAAGAAACACAATTTCTTAATTGCTTTGCAAAACAAATTGTTTGGCACATGATTCACATAGCTCTAGGATAACACTGAATCCATGACACAAAGCATGTACATTTTTGAATGTCAGCATGAATGGCACCTTTGTCAGTCAGCTAGGTATGTACCTGTCATTCCTCTCTTGGACTGATGGATTTGTGAAGGAATTCATGTAGGGGAAGAAAAAGTAAAAGACAATACAAGAAGAAAAATCAAAGGAAAGAAACTAAATTCATTTAGTTGGTTTCCCTATCATTTTCCTTTCCTTGATAAATCCTTCACAAATTTATGATCCAAAGATGTCCTTGGAATACAAGATCCTCCTCGCCACTCAAAATTCATCAATTGCCATCGTGGGCATAATCTAAAAAATCCTATGGTTGTGTTTTGAATCTGAGATTTGAAGAGGAATTTGTAGAAAGAATGAAAAAGGAAAAGAAAAATGACAAAAAATTAATTTATATTTCTTTCAGTTTTCCCTTCTTTTTACCTTTCCTTCCACAAATCCCTCCTTAAGTCTAAGATCCAAACACAACCTATCATTTGTAGGGAGCAGATATATACACATTTAATATATAGGAAAAATGGAAAAAGAAAAAAGAAATGACTCTCACAGCTATGTACATGGGTTCATACATATATGATATCAATTACGTAACAACTCTGGAATTGAATCGAACCCGAATAATCTATCTTGAAGCCCCAAATTCAGGGAGTGATATATCGACTAAAATCCAAAGTACACTGCCAGCATTGCAAAACAAAAGAGCCCAATGAACAGATAGATCAGAATCTAATGACATAAGGATTCACGGAACTGGAGAAGGCATGGCAGGAATTTAATATAATCTATATGGTAGAATTTCATTTATCATGAGACCAAAAAATTAAAGACACAAGGGAATGGATAAAAATTGATGGTCTGAGACCCTATGAACAAGACGAGGATTTTACGCGAGTAAAATATGGTAAACTTAAAGAGGGTAAGTCTGTGCCCATAAAATTGTTGCTTGCCAAGCACTCAAATAAAATATAAAGCTCATATACAAAGCCAAAAAAAAAACCAATGGGTCAGATGCATATAGAAGGACAATGAAGAAACCGTGTGAAATCATACCCGACATAATTTTGGCACAAATTTTCATGAGATGAAGCTGCAGAATCAACTTTTGAACTTGTAATTTAACAGATAAACCATGTTCAACTTCGTGAGTATCTCCAGAAGTCAAGGTATTGTGGTCTACTGCATGATGGATAGAGTTGGTTGATACTGAAGAAGTTGAAAAATCATGACCTGTAAGCTTATTACTCATCCGAGCCATAACAACCACAGCACGCTCATTCAAGACCCCATTAGCATCACCTAGTTGACCTGCACATACTCATTTAAACTATCAAGTATGATATTTTGTTTTTGTTTTTATTTTTTTGATAAGCATAAACTGTAAGCATGATTCACCAGCACACTAGCAGAACTTCTTGACATTCAGAATTTATCAATACCTGAAGTTGTTTCCTCTCCCGAGCACCCCATTGAGGTTGATGCAGCTCTCCGTTTGGAGCAATTTCTTCACTGTTCACAACTGGGGGCACATGAGCATCCACAATAGTTGATATTTGAGGGACTTCATTGAAGTTGAAAAGACGCCAGTTTATCAGAGGATCATGAACGAAGGCCTGAAAACAGGTCGAACTAAAATTAGCTTCCATGTTATATGGTGGAATATTAGCTACTTTAAAATGATTCTACCATCAATGACGGTGCCAATTTTCATGTGAAAGGAAAAAGACATAAAAAGAAGGAATGTGAGTGAAATAAAAACAATTTGTTTACATTAACGATTCTATTTCCTCATAGTTATACCTTTGACAAATAGATGGGATAGTAAAAATTTACTGCCTGTGTTCTAAGGAATTTCCCACAGTTTGAGGGATCGAAGTTAATTTAATTGATTTGAGCCAGACTAAGCCAGAAAAAGCTTATTGAAACAGATACAGAACACACAGGAAATTTATGGTGTCTATACCTCCATCATAGCCATGACACTATCCTTACTTGTTCTGAGAACCTGCATCACATTTTCGAACGTTGAACGGAAGTTGCCTGCAATACTGCTAACCTCCATAGCTTTCACAAGCATTCTAGTCAGTCGGAATGGAACCTACATTATCACTTTCATGTCAGAGGTCCTAGCATAAACTAACACCATAAGAGGCCATACGTGTGTAAGGTTTTGTAGGCAGTAAATCTAGAATAGCATACTTTTTCAGGGAACTTCTCCCGGTTCGTTGAAGCTTCAAAACAGTCTCCAAAATCAATGTGCAATATCTTCCCACTGAAGACAACATATCATATGAATACTTTCAAAACCTTAATCATAAATACAACTACTTGTTCTCTTCCAATCATAAAATACCTGTAACGATGCAACATTAGGTTGCTAGGGTGTCGATCACCTAAGCCAAGAAGGTATCCAACCTGAAACATTAGCCAGATATCTTAAAATACAATTTTGAAACAAAAAGAAATGAAAAGAACTGCATAGATCATATTCATTTGAAGTTGTCAGCAAAATCAAGCATGGTCAGGGCGCACACTTGCAAGTGACTTCAGATACATTTGTTGACCTCAAGTAATTTTGAGTTTCTAGATTATGGTAAGAGACTCTGAATTTTATTTACTCTTTACTTTTTGTTGAGTACTACATAAACACAACAAATTATTCATAATCACCCAACTAGCTGATTTAAGAGTCCAAATATGCACCAAGAACCCACCCACTAAAGTAAAATAATATGATTTAGAAAAAATGAAAAAGTCAAATGTCCAAAATCACTCTGCCAATTGTTGGCCTAAAATATGCTATGATGGGGACCACCTAACCAAAGAAAGAAAAGTATAATCAAATAACATACATTTACTTCGAAATATTCTCTTATATAAACATTTCTAAAGCGTAAAAGGCTGACAAATAAGATCATACATGGGAGCCATATTGTGTTGATTTTGTGGAAACATATACAGCAGGATCCTGCTGGCTTTAAGAAAAAGATCTAAATAATACGAGGAGAAAAATGATACCATGCTCATGACAGCCAAACTTCTAGTAAAATTTGTCCTCCTGTCTAGCCAATTCTCAGAAGTGTGACTTTTTAACCAAAGCACCTATCAAGAGGCAATGTAACTAACTTGAGAAAAAAAATTCCCAGGAGAGAGAGCCAAAGATGCAGCATATTTCTTGAAGAAAACATACCCTTGCCAGGTCATTTCCTTCAGTATTTTGCAGAGCATACTCAAACACCTCCACTTTAGCTATGAGTGGCAAATGGTCATAATCTTGAGCAAAATTAAGCATATGTTTGTGCTCTAGGTTTAAGGTGATCTATATACCAGAAACATGCACAAAAAATTAGACAAAATGCACACACACACACACACACAGAGCATCAAATGAACCTTAGCGGACCTTTCTAGCATCTCTATACTCCCGAATGAGCTGGTGCAGGGTGTCACACTTTGGTACCCATCCTATTAATCTGCTGTTTGGAGACAATGGAATGACAGCATATCTTTGAATAGAAAGATCCTTCTCTGCAGTGTTTCTGGAATTTTCCAGAAGTGTGTTCACCAAACCAAAGAGCTGGCCAACATGTAAAATAAAATGTCAGTGATAGAGTAACACAAATAATATAAAAACACCACGTGCAATATCAATTTTGTAAACATAAGCATTATGTGCCTTAGAAACCTCGCAACATGGAGAACACCACCATCCACTAGCACATGTATAGCAGGCAGTCTATCAGAAAAGAGGAAAAACCTGCATGACACGTTCATCTTGGCGTAAATCTTCATGCCCCTTAAGGAGGAAGGCATAATCTTCTCCATCACTCCCATGAATTGTCAATTTCCATGGTCGCTGTTTAGATGTTATGACAACAAGCTCGGGCGCAAATGATGCAATTGTAACCAGTTGAGAATCTGAAGTATTGAAAAATAGTGCACATCAATGCATTGAAGAGACAGAACCCAATTTAACTCTAATCATACCATAACCCAGATTTTACCTACTCAGTAAGTGCCAGGAACAGCAAGCTCCAAATTTTGGCATTCTACCAATTCAGGGGAAACAAACTGGTTATGCAAAAGTATAAAAGGTTAGTGTCAGAGTAGCAACATATGCGAAACAAACATAAAGACAGAAATGATTCTTGCCTGCAGGTCCAGGCTAGTAAGAGTTTGAAGCTGCTTATCTATCCGTCTGAAGACATGATAATACAGATCCCATGCCTGGTCGAAAAATAAACTTCAAATTGTCAAGGAAACAGACTAAAAAAATAAGTAGTTCCCTAGGTAACTAGGTGTGGCCATATGGTCATGCACGTAAGTTCAAACACAGAACATTAACAAAAAATTCTATTGCATTTACATATCAATATGAAGGACATTGTATTTCTGCTCTTTTACTTATATATGTTTACTTTTATTCCAAATTAAATAACTAGTGTATGAATCAACTTATTTCCCAAACTACAGATAACAAAAAAAAAAAAAATGGATGCTGCAGAAACAAAGACTTCTTAAAAAAAATTCAAAGAGAAGCAAAATGCTCCAAATCAAGAGCATCGACCAAGGAAAGCAGGTTTAGGTCCATGCCCAGCATAAAACTTGTCCAGGTGCAATGGAAGTTTTAATGACACCAGGATGACCAGTAGAAATGTAAGGAAAGGGTATGGATGAAGGAGTGAAGGCAAAATGCAAAAACTTGAAGAGGGAAAAGAATACAAAATAGAAACATTAAAAAGATTACTGTGGCTGACCCTATACCATTCATGAGAATCTCGAGCATTAATGATAGCTATATCATGATCACTACTAGTTAAGAAATGTAGTGCCACAAGTAGAAACAATATGACAAATACGCAAATTTTAAGAAAATAAATAAATAACAATTCAAGTAAGATTGATAACTGAAGTTTTATTCTTCAAGTAGACAGATCATTTCTACCTGAGTAAGTTCTGCATCTTTTCCAGTTCTCTTATATTTCATGCAACATTCGTAGGCTTCCAATAATTCATGGTGGTATGCCAGAAATTCATATGAAGATGGAATAGTTAATAAAATGATCAAGTTGATATACAGTTTCTTCAATGAAGGGGTCTGTAGATTAAAAGGTTTCAGCATTTAAAAAAAATCTCCATTTCTTGATTCAGGGCAGGCAAGAAAGGAAGCATAGCATGCAAGGCACTTCTTGCTCTGTAATAATGCTAGTGTGTCTGGTGCTAAATAAATTACCCTCGAGGTTGAACAGACATAGAAGCAATTAGCAAGCCCCACAGGATCTAAAATTGCATTTAAAAATGTAGATTGGTCTATATAACAAAAAAAATGTTGCACAGTAAGACTATAGACCAAACACACACACACACATATATATTTCAACTTGTATAGAATAAAGTTTGGGTGGATTTTACGATAGAAAAATACCTGAATGAAAGCTTTCTCTTTTATGGTTGTGTTGTTTCTCATTGCCCCTTCCTCGAGGAGTTCATGCAATGGCTCTAACACCTTTAGCATACCCTCAATGTTATGTTCACCGAAATATAAACAACTGGCTTCTTCCAGTGCCTCATGCCATATCTCATGCCAAAGTATTGCGACCCTGATTAACTCATTCGATACCAGTTGTGCCTTCAAAACAAGAACCTAACTGTCAGACCAATAAAATTCGGCAAAAACAAACAACTTACTATAGCTATTGTTCCACCTGATCCACAAGTACACCACTATGCTGCCGAACTTTGTCAACCATTTCTTGAGCTGCAACTTTACGTAAATTGCTTATTGATTTACATGCCACAAGAAGAGGATACATAAGAGAAACTGAAGAGGATACAGAAGAGGATAGATAAGAAATTGAATTACTTTTGACACATCTAAACGTTAACAAACATTATTCAGAGACAACCATGGGAACATCTAATGCAGAAGAAGAGCAGTGCATCAATTAACATCATTTTGTGAGAAACTTCGGAAATAATATTGCACAAATTGCATAAGAGAAAGTTAACGCACTTCAATAACAACAACATAAGTATTTTCACAAGAAGATGTTGAGTTAGGACATTATTTTAAGCCACAAAATTAGTCAAACATACAAGAATTAAGTGAGAAAGCTGATGATGGGGCATAGCAAGCAAATTTGCCACATAAATTTAAAGGTGGTTTATTGATGCCATGCCATGTTTTTTGAGTGATAGCAAATATCATAAGATCTGGATATCCCAAAAAAGGCTGTGGGCCTAGTGACAATCAGGAATCCTTGTCAATCCAAAGAAAAACATCCATGCCGGTGAGCCAAGTCTGAATTTATATTAGCTCTAAGTCAATCTGCCACTGGTCACTGTAGAATGTTTTGTCACCTTTTAGAAGCCAACAGAATTTCAGTAATTTTCATATCTGCTGGACATGGGAAATATTAGTGGTCATAAGTCGTCTGCTTGGGCTTGAGATATTTAATACTTTTTTATATTGATCTTTAGTGGGTGTAGACTAGTATTAGTTCTAGTCTTAGTAACAAATATTCTTTTTTGAAATCGTCATTTTAGTAGTAGAGTAGTAGTAGTAGTAGTACAACTGCTTACATATTATATTATATATGCATGTATTTTTGTAGATGTAAATTTTCTATTTAATTAGACGTCAGTTTAAAGAATTTGAGATTGCTTTCTGTGTGACAAAACTTAACAGCTGCAAGAATAAAACCCAATGCTCTAAGAAAGAATTCTATGTTCTTCTTCTCTTTTTTCTTTCCTCCAGTTTGTACTTGTTGCCAAGAAGACTCTAGGAAACAATTCAAATGAACTTTAATCAGGCCAAGCTCGAGTAACTTGGTTTTTATAGTGTATATATGCTTATTGAGCCGAGTTCGAGCCAAACTCATAGATTAATGAGTTTCAAAATATGTTTAAACTTGGCTTGTTTATGTTAGTACTATGACTAGCATAGGTTGGAAATTTTATGACTGTGTAATGTGCACCTTAGGTAGAGCCCAGATCCTAGGCCGCACTTCTCTGCGGCCCTCTCTGTCATGCTTCAAAACGACGTCGTTTTGAATATATATATATATATATTCCTTCTTATTTTCAGCCCATTTTCGTTTTGGAGCCCTAGCCCCTCTGAGAGGAGTCCGGATCCTCGGCCGCTCATTCCTGTGGCGCCCCCAAAACAACGTCATTTTGGGAAAATTTTCAATTAAAAAAATCAAATAAAATAGACAGAGCAGGAACAAACCAGAGGGAAAAGAAGGAAGGAAGAAGGGAGAAGGAAGGCAACGGCAGATCCGGCCTTCTACGACTGCCTAGATCCTGTGTGTGTGTGTGTGTTATATCTGAGTGAATTTCAGTCTCGACCAACCACTACTGTAGTTTGTCGCACCCGACTTCTCTCTTGTGGCTCTCATCAATCTTTTATGTATATTGTGTTTGTTGGCCTTACATTTCACTTCTACAAACCTCATTTGCGTCGAAGTCCTCTCTTTTCTGTTCTGGGTTTCCATCACAATGACACACTGATTCAACACCTGGTAATTCAAAACTCCATCTTCAATTCCCTCTTTTCTCTCATTTCTTATCTCCTTATATATATATATATGTGTGTGTGTGTGGTTTAATTTGTGTTCTCTTTATTAGATTGCATCTTATAAAGAGGGGGTTTGGTTCGATCATGTTCTTTTCCTTGCAATTTCAATCTGGGTCAAGAAAAATCGGCCACGGTAATAACCTTCTTGTTGTGTGGATTCAATTTTTTTTGTGTTTGATAGATGGAACTTGATTTAGATTTAATTTATTGTTGTGGATTCAATTTTTTTTGTGTTTAATTTTATGGGTGTTTCTTATATATGTTTATAAAGTGTCGATAATTTGGGATTTTGGTAATCCAGCCTTTGTTTCCATGGCAGGGGAGGCAAGTTCTTTCCATATAGATGGTCCCGAAGAGGTCCATTCGTAAACCAAGATCATTTCTGAGTTCTCATCACAATAACTAATCAACGACACCAAATGGCGATGCCTGAGCTTCGATAGCATCTGAATCTCTGTTTGGAACTCATTGATGCCTTGTTCGGATTGTGGGTTGCCTCGTTTGACTGCCGCTTCCTCCTTCTCCCTTCTTTCTTCTTCTCCCTTCGTTGCTCCTGTTCTGTTTTTTTTTTTTTAAAATTGAAATATGGCCCCAAAATGACGTCGTTTTGGGGCGCCACAGGACAGGCCGCAGAAATGGGCGGTCGAGGATCAGAGACGAACAGAGCTAAACAATTTGGACGAGAGAGGCGACGAACGGAGTGCGACGAGAGACGAAGACAGAGAGAGTCGGCGGTGAGGCGAGTGGAGGCGGCGAGAGACGAACACAGAGGTCGACGAACGCGAGGCGGCGACGAGGTCTGTTTGTTTTGGTGTTTCTAGTTTCACACTGATTTGATTTCACTATCTATCTATATATATATACCTTTGGCTGATTTGATTTCAAACACTGTTTTGGTGTTTGTGATTTCGATTTGTTGAGGTTTCCTGATCCCAGATCTTGAAACGCATAATTTTCACTATGTACATTTGGCTGAAGTGAGTATATATATACATTTTATCATCTAATGGAACGATTTCATATGATTTGGCTGAAGTGAGTAGTATGGAGGAGGGGGATAAGCAGGAGGTGGGTATGAACTACGTTGGGAGATGGGTTTGGAGGTGAAACCTAACACTACGTTTGGAGCTTAGGAGAAAAAAAAGAAAAGAAATGGTTTATAAAAGAAAATAAAAGAAATAATTGTAATTTTTTACATTTTTGCTTGAATAAGTAAGAAATAAAAAGAAATGAAATGATTATAATTTCTTTTTTTATTGTTTGGTTAGATTTTATAAGAAAAAAAAAATATTTTATGTTATATTATCAAAATAACCTTTTTATATTTTCAATTATTTTATTTCTTTTATTTTTACATGGATAAAACTAGTATTATGAAAATATTGATTTCTTTTATCTCCCAATCTCTCCACTTTTAAGAAGATTGAAAATGAGAGTTATAAGATAAATGAGTTTATCTTCCTTTCTCTTCATTTCTTTCCACTTAAGTTATCTAAATAAGTAAAGGAAATACATATCTTTCCATTTCTTTTCTTTTATCTCCAAATCACTCAATCTAAACATAGCGTAAGGGTATCCATAGCCATAACCAATATTGTAAGGATTGTAATTATCCATCAGATGTATACACTAACCTGGTAGGGTTTTTCTACACAGATGCACAACAAAGAAAAGAAAATCAAAAGGGTTTTGTTTTTTTTACACTCAAATGGAAATTTTATTAGATTTAAGTGTAAAAAAATTATCAACAAATTCAGAGAAAGATTGTTGAACAAGTTAGAGAGAGAGAGAGATCAAAGGGCTTTGTCTATTAGTTCAATTCAAGATCACAAATAGCACAATTGAACTTGAATTGCTAGAACAAGCTAAGAACAAAGAGAGAGATGATTTGGCCAAAGTGAGTATATATATACACATTTGGCTGAATGGAATGATTTTCACTATTCATTTTATCATCTAAAGGAATGATTAGTCAAATGGCTGAAGTGAAAAAAAATTATACATTTGTTCGTCATTGTTCATCATTGTTCCTCATTTACACTGTTCTATTTGTTCCTGATTTACTATTTCAAATTCAATACACCAACTTGGTTGATCCATTTGTTCTTTCCCTCTCATATGATTTAAAATCCAAACATATCTGTGCGGGGATCAAATATTCAGGCAAGCCTGCACTCCTTTCTTCCAAGTTCCTGCCTGTCCGATCGACCTGCGAACACAACGGCGGTGAGCTACCCGGCGGTGTGTGGCCAGAAAACCCCTCCGACGATCAAGTTAGACACACACACCAGGGATAGAGAGAGAGAGAGGACTAAGTTGTGTTTAGTGTTTATCTCACTAAAAATGTGTCATCCTCAGTATGGGGGCGCAGACTCGCTTATATACCTTCTGCGCCCCAAATCTACTCCCATTAGTCTCTCGACACATGGTGCTGTTATCCCATCTGTCAGCACAGATCTTGCTGAACATCACCTAATCCCAACTGGCAACCCCACTCTACTGGGAGCTCGGCAACCGGATTACAGTATCTCGGCTGCCAATGGCCATGCTGCACTTCATGCCCAAGCGTTCCAATAACCAAGCTCATTGAGGACCGAGCTCGGCTGCATCCCGGCATAGCCGAGCTCAGGACAGCTCATACTAGTTTGCCACCGGCCTTCCTACCGAGCTAAATCATGCACCGTGGAACCTCCACACCTTGCCTGGCGCCGGTCATCTCACTCGACCGGCTTCTATACCATGAAGTCAAATAGCTCGGCCGACCACGCCTTACCTTAACCGAGCAAAACCTTTCAGGATAAGCCCGTTTCACCGCGGCCCAAACTTGTTCGGCCCAAATCTGCCCGGCCATTACCACGGCCCAAACCAAACCATAAATCTCCCTCTCAATTTCCCCTTAATTCCGTCCGCCAAAGCGTGACTGGGATTACTTGTTATGACCGGGGTAAACACTTCTCGGTTCTCAGTTTTGCAAGAAGTCGACCGGGCTAATTTCTGCGCTCGGTTCCTTGTCTTGCTTGGTCGACGCCTCGTCTGACCTTCCTATGTCTTGACTTGCTCGGTCGACGCCTCGTCTGACCTTCCTGTCTCTTAAGCTCTGACGCTGCCATCAATGGGGACACGTGTCATGTGCTGATTGGCCTTAAGCCGCAAACAGTCACGTCCCTTCAATTGAAATTTTTGGCGGTCTTCCTCCCCTATATACGCCATTTCCTTCTTTATTTCGACTTTACTGATTTTTCTTCATTCTTGCTGATCCAGAGCTTCTGCCCTTCCTTTCTTGCCATTATTGAGTTCGTGTTCGAGAAAGTAGCCACTGCTTTTAACTGGTAAGTTCGTCAACCCCTTTTGTTGTTATTTCACATGGTATTTCGCATAATAGGGCACTAAATCCGTAGGTTTTAGGACATAGGCACCCAAAACCGTCCCTAACCCTTTACTTTCCTTGCTGTTCTTCATTTTCTCTGATGAACACTGAAGATCTGGGGTGGGCCGGGCTCCAGGTCTTCCTTTGATCCAAAAAATCATTTAGACCAAGCAAATAAGCAGTTTGTCCCAACCTTAGTAGAAACCGGGGTAACCAAATGACTTGGCCGTTCAACCGTGCTAAAATCTGGTCCGCTTGAGCGATCGGGCTCCTTGGTTAGCTTTAACGACCGAGGTGGTTTGGCACTCTTCATGACCGAGCTAAAGTCAAGCTCGTTTTGCGCGACCGCGCTCCCTCTTACACTTGTCATCCTTTTCCTGCAGAGTCCAAGGGGACCACAGACCATTACCGAGGCTCTCAAAGACCGAGCAGCCATCAAGACACCAATCTGCCAAACCACCTCAGCCGAACTAATCCAGCCGGCTACACATGGGGCGCTTTCGCTTCCTTGTTGACACTCCAGCTGCCTTGGCCGTGTTCCGGAAGACTACGGTATCCCGGCAAACGTTCACCTAGAGCTCGCCGAAATTGAGACAACCCATTGGGGCAGATTAGACTAGTGTCCCTTCACCGTGCTTTCTATCATTGAAGGAGGCCTCCGCTTCCTAATCAACCCTCTGCTGACCGAATTCCTGCGCCGTACCGGGCTAGCACCCACACAAGTATTAACCAACACCTATCGAATAATCAACGGCATCCATGAGTTAACTAACCGGTTAGGGACCAACTTAGGTTTAGCCGAGATACTGAGACAGTACACCCTTGGGCACACCGGCGATGGCCTCGCCTATTACTTAAAGATTAGGCCGAACAAAGAAAAAATAGTGACCGGCACCCCAGACAAAGACTTACACGACGACGACTTCTTCTGGGTGTCCGGCAATTATGAAATGGCCAACGTACCGGGCTGGTTCATTAGCAAAAATTTCGACGAGACATGTAAGCCGTGCTAACTGGCTCGGTTAATTGCCTTTGTTCCATATTCTGTATTTTAACATTTTTCTTCTTTCCTTTGCAGCGATCCAAGCCCTACAAGCCAACTACCACTACCCTAACGAAGAAGCCATCCGAACCGTGCTCCGCCACCGCGACCGGGATTGTAACGAGCTACTCGGTTACGTCCCAACATATAGATACTCAGCTCCGTACCGGAGTAAGGTCACTGACTTCCTCCGTGCTCCGTCACCTCCTCCCGACCCAACACTACCGGGCGTGCCCCTAATCCGGTTAACAGAAGAAGAAGAGATGGCAAAACGAAGTCGTATCAAGAACCTCCTCACAGCAACTTCTACCGAGATGCCGAGCGTCATCACCCACTCTCCAGCTGCCAGTCAATCCAGCAGGGCCGTGGTCGCGTTAGCGTCACCTGCTGCCAGGCAAGCCAGCCACTATAACCGCCAGGCTGGGAAACGGCCTCACGTAGACCCTTCTACCAAGCTAATTGAAGAGCTGACAACCGAGCAACCCGCCGTCACCGTCGACCCAACACCGGCATGGCGATCGTAGCTCAAACACCGGGGTAAGGAGATCTCAGCAACAGCTTCAGTGAAGGGCGACAAAGAACATCTTCTCACCTTTGACCTCTCCAAGGCCCTTCTCCTACCGAGTGACATGGTCGACAGCGACCATGTTCCAGACACCCGGTTGGTGAAGTAGGCCGTGAAGTCTATGACCAGGGTAAGAGTCAAACTTCTATTCAAATTTTCACAAGTGTTTGCACGGTTTCCTCTTTGATCAATCATTCTTCTTGCAGGCCATCTAGAAACAACACTTGGTCATGGAGCGCATTCATCGATTGTGGCAGAAGGCAAATGACACAGCCAGCCAAGTTCAAAGCCTTCAGACTGAGCTAGGCTGAGCAAAATCTTCACTGGAGATAGCCAACGCGAACAACTCCCGGTTGCTCAGCCAACTTGGTGATGTCGAGAAAGAGAGGGATGCGCTCCAGGCCGAGCTGGATGCACTCAAAAAGTCAAGGGGGAAGGAGCTGGAGGACGCAAATAATGTCGGCTTCAAGGAGGCTGAGGACAGCTACAAAAAACAAGTCTTCGCCACCCAAGATATATACTTCAAAGCGGGTTGGAAGTCTGCCTGCGATCAGCTCGACCAAGGCCCAGGGACCGACATGTTTGCCTCTCCACCGGCTGTCTTCCTACCGACCTATCTCGTGCCGTATGCCAACGACATCTTCAGCACGTTGCAGGCTGAGGACGAGGAAGGACTCGAAGGAGAAACCGAGGCAAATGCTGAGGAGTAGGACCGCCAAACGGAGGAGCAGCCCGGCCGAACTAAGACCGGTGTCCAAGGCCAACCTCCAACGGTCAACTTAGAGGCAGCCGAGGATGAGTTCACTAACCTTTCCCCCTTAGC